ACCTTCTCTATGAAGTCTTTATCTTGATATCTGCTATAATACACTTGACAAAGTTGTTCTTGGTTTGGCTCTATCATTTTATCATTGAAACATGAAAATAAGGAGACTATGACAGATGGATTTGTTACAATAACAACACCTGTCTGTGAATTAGTCTCTCTAAACAAGAAAGCATTTTTATAAAATGAAGAAATGGAATTTTGGAGATATCTAATAAAAGTATTATGAGAGCATCTTCTTGAGATATTTTTAATAACTACGGTGTTCTTAACTTTGTCCAATACATTTCCTTCGCTGTCAAATTCAATTTGTTCAAGTTGTGCTTCGTTTTGATGTTCGTTATAATTTTTTACAGTATCTTGTGCATAGTTTTGGATTAAATCAATCAATTCAGAAGGAGGAATTATCACTGGTACTTCTCTTGGAATACCAAGAAGATTTGAAACACATTGAAGAAAGATAAGTTTAGAAATGTTTGGTTTTGAAGTTTCTATCTTTATTTTTCTTCCATTAATTTCAATATCATTTAATTCTTTAAGAGCAATATCAGAACTTCTTGAATCAAAATACTCAATAAATTTATGATATTTTCTTGATGGAGTTTCACGAATCTCTTTTATTTCTCCATACTTTGAAAAAATTGTTTTAAGAGTTTCATCATCAGTTTGTTTGTCAATATTGAAAATAACCAATGTACCATGATTTGGTTCTTCATTAATGTCTATTGGTATTCCAAATACAATATGAAGTTGATGACCTCGATAACAACGACCATTAAGATATTTTGCTGCACTTCTACTTGCTCTAATATCATAAAATATAACAACAATAAACCCAAATTGGACAGTACTGTAATAAATTGTTTTTACATCTCCATATTGTTGAAAAATACACAACAATTCTTTAGGATCATATTGAGATAAAATATTAAAAACACATAAAACTCGACTTGGATGTTCTCCATATTGAAATTGTTCGAGTTTATTTAATTCTTCGGTAATTTGGTTTCTATCATTTTTGTCGTGGATGTTATAGTGAATACCACTTTGGGACATGATAAAAGTCAGTAGAAGAAATGATTAAATACTGACTTTGTAAAGTCTCAAATTTCGTTTTTGTTCTTTCTAATATCACTTTTTTTTTGAATAACATTTTTTTGATTTTTGAAAAAAGAAGAAATCTTAAAATAATTATTTATCAGTTGTGAAATCAAAAATGGGATGTTCATTATATCAAACCTTCTTTATTATACTAGTTTTAATTACTTTTTGTCTATCAATACTAACTACGTTTACATTTATATTTGATAATATACCTAATGAATATGATCGTTTTTCAGCAAGAAATGTTTGCTATTATTATTTTATTGATATAATGAATAATAACCTCATTAGTTACTCAACGGTTATCACAACACAATAACATGTTCAAGTAATCCATTCAAAAATAAATATACTTTTTCATATTCTCTTGGCACAAAATATCAATATAGTTGTCCAATGAGTTTATCAACAATTATTAAATTAAGTATTAGTTGTTTGTTATGTATGGCAGTAAGTATATTGATTATTTATTGTGTTATTATAAAGAAGATATCTTCAACGTGTATTATTGTTTGTTTTTTTTAAATTCTATCAATATTAGATAATATAAATAATAGTAAGGTAATGCTTTGTTGTATTCTCAATACAATGTATTCATTATACTGTGAATTCTTTTTTATTCATGAAGAAATTGAAGGAAGATATTTCTGTGAAACACTAAGAACAACCCAATGGCAATCACCTGTTTCTAATTTCAAATGTCATACATATCGTTATACAGTCTTTTCCATACTTCACACTACAACAGTTGTATCATTAATGGTGTGTGGTATTTCATCTAGTTTTTATATTAAAGATTACAAAGAACAACAATACCTAAACAAGAAAATAGAAAATGATGAAAAAGAAAAAGAGCATAAATTTACTGAAAATGAGACATATCAAAATGATGTGTTAGTTAATTTCGAAGAATTAGCAAATAATAAACATAATGTAAAACCAGGAGAAGTTGATTTTTCTCAACTAACTTATAATTAAATGAACATTCTTATTTAATTCTATTTTATTTTAATTAATATATTTTTTACAATTTTTATAATGAAAATTTATATAAACTTCTTAATTAATGAAAAAAGAAATTAATTGATATATCTCAATTACTTTTATTTATTTGGCAAGTGAAAGTGCAACTTCCATCATTTGTGTAAATTTAGTTCTTCTTTCTTCTGCTGTCATTTTTTCACCACTTCCATAACAAAGATCAGAAATAGTTAACATACAAAGTGCTTGTTTACGTGCTCTTGCTGCAATCATATAAAGAGCAGCTGCTTCCATTTCTACAGCAAGTACTCCCATCTTTTTCCATGCTCCTGAGTGATCTCCATCATCATAGAAATAATCAGCAGAATAAATATTTCCTACCTTATATCTATATCCAAGTTTTTCAGCTGCATCAACTGCTTCTCTGCAAAGTTGGAAATCAGCAATACATGAATATTTACCTGGAATATCATATTGTCTTTCAAAATTGGAATCATAACATGCTCCCATTCCAATAACAATATCTCCAAGTTTTAAACTTTCATCAAAAGCTCCAGCAGAACCAATTCTAATGATTCTCTTTACTCCATAGAAATTAAATAATTCATAGGCATAAATTCCAATAGATGGCATACCCATACCATGAGCTTGAACTGATAACTTCACTCCCTTATAATATCCAGTATATCCTACTGCTCCTCTAACACTATTATATTGAACAACATCAGTCAAATAAGTGTCTGCAAGAAGTTTTACTCTTAATGGATCACCAGCCATAAGGACAGTTTCAGCAATCTCTCCGTATTTAGCACCATTATGTGGAGTTGGACAATGTTCAGCCATGGTAATGAATAAATTTTTCAAATAAAAAGACCCTTTTATTCTCAATTGGAATATCAAAGAACCAAACAGAATTTAGGTGATGATTCTTATTAACCCCATTCATCGGGAAATTAGGATTTAATATTTTTAAGTGGAAAAAGAGTATATTCGATCGAATGGATGTAGAAGAGTGCAGTTCTGATTAGAATAATCTCTTTCTTACTAATTAAAAGAATGAAGAAGTGTTATTAAAATTATGTTATTTAATAAAAGTAAATATTTGATTAATTATAAAATTTCCACAATTTTATTTTCATCCATTTATTTTTCATTAGAAGAAATTTAAATTAATTAATTATCCCAACGTTCTGTTGGGCTCTGGTAAAGTGATGAATTGAGGCATTTGTCTGATTTCTTTGAAGACAAATATACATCTTCCTGATTACTTTTTTAAAAAGAAGAAAAA